CAGCACTTAAACAAACATCAACAAATAAAGCCCCAGGAAAAGTAACAAGATACCAGATTGTTTCCAAGAAACAGCAACTTAACAAGATTGTCACAAGAGTGCCTAACATTCTCCCTGAAAAAGCCTCAAGCTAGCATCCCAAGTAAAATAACGTTCTGGTAGACGTAGTCCACAAAAAAAGCCCCAACCCCTTTTGTGCAAATTTCAGTAATTCAGCTCTAGACAATCCTGCTGCCAAATGATGCACAAATCCCCCCTCCCAGCTTGCTCCACTGCATCAACTAGTCCTCCAAACTTTTTGCCTTCCCCAGAGCAGAGCCCTCAAGTGAAGGGGGAATATCTGCAATCTCTACATAGAGCAGGACGGAAGAAGGAAGGTCTTTGGCCTCTTAGGATTCACAGGTCAACACTAAACACTTTTATTTCCACTTAGAAGCCCATGGGCAGCCAGGAGGTAGTACGTGCCAGTGGCAGTTTGTTAGCAGCTGGGCACTCATCTACTGAGTAGCTGCTGACCCACACAGGTGATTTATATTTCCAATAGATTATAGGGTTATCACAAACAAATTAACTCAAAGGAGATGCAGGCAGGAATTAAGTGGTGAGGTGGTTCTGGTAAAGAAAAATAAAATTAGGTTAATTACAATCAAATAGGTAAATTTTGAAATTATGTAAAACAGGAAAAAAAAATCAGTATTGCAATTTCATGTGTAACTAGTGGAGAGAAAGCTGGATTACCATCTTTCTAGATTTCAACCTGTAGAATATAAGAACATCAGTTGATGGATGCTGTTATTCTGCACACCTGGGAATCCTTTTTGTGGGAAATAATCCTCCCTCCAAAAAGAGGTGAACTTTGAGATTTATTTGCAAAATAGTTGTAAACCTCTGGAAATCCTGAACTGGAAGGTATTAAAGGAAACCACCACTAAGTATCATCATTTGATTATTTAATAGAGATCGGAAAAATTGTTCTGGCATGTAAAAATCCCTATTACACACCCAGGTAGATTAAGTCACCTTCTATAGAGGCTCATATCCCACAGCAGATAACAGGCTGGGGAATGACATCTGAATTGGGCAGATTTAACTCAAATGGTCTAGTTTAATCCAGGGTCCTGGCTCCAGTACCTGATGAACATTTCTCTGTGGGAACATGGAATGCAAACTGGAAAAACCCTACTGCTATTTCTCCTTGAATTTCAGACTTTCATGGCACATGGATAAACATAACTGCCAGCCAGAATTTGGCTTTATATGTATGACCTGTAAAATAGGGAGCTTTCATTTGTAATGAAACACATCTGCTGTCCTTCAGCAGTGTGGAAGAGCACACCTTTTAATTGATTTTCCCTACATAGTTTGAGTTCACTGAGCCATTTTTCTTGATGGTGAAAATGGGCTCAGATCCAGCGCAACTTATGGAGTTTTACTCACTTAAATTCAGAATATGACTTGGTATCTTTCAAATATAAATAAATCCAAATATGTCACAGATTGAAACATGTAAATCAAAATGAAATTGAACTAAAAATAGTATCTACGTGAATAATAAATGTATTTGTCTCATCTTCCCAGAAATTACTGATTTTGCTCCTAAAATGTATTCTGCAGCAACACCACAGATATCTTTCTTCCTATGAAGTTAATTTTGAGAAGTTATTTCGATTTTAGATTAAACCAGAGTAACAAATACGGGGGGGGGGGAAGTACATAGATGATACTTTTCCACAGGCAAAACTGCATAGCATCAGTAATAAAATATGGTCTGTGGTACTATACATTAACAATGTGCATTTATCTACATCATTTACACTGCTAAAACATGCAATAGTGTGCTAAGTAGCTCCATAAATTAGCTGAAAATTCATTTTCCCTTTTCCCTCCTCCAAACTGTTAATCTAGTAAAATTCTAAAAACAAAGTCATCTTATGCTTTTCTATTAGAAAAACAAAGCCCAAAAATATGCCTTCAGTAAAGTCATGCGTTATCCTTACAGGTGCTAGACATAGCCTTGCTTCATCTGCATCCGTAATACAGTTGGTTTCCGTATAGCTGCTATCGTGAATTACGTAACACACTCCTCACCTCCATCAGGCTGTAATACAGGCTGTAATTGTAATAAAGGCTACAAATAACAAGCTTTTCTCATAGCGCTGCTTGTTGTGTTGTGGTTTTTTTTCATGCTAGCTAAAATCGTCCGCATATTTAATAAAACCAATTCAAAAACAGGTTCTGAAACCAGTCCTGAAAAGGCATGGGATGGGCACAGCTTCACAGTAACCTCAGATTCTGCCAAATAACATTCATTTCCATATTCTCTTCTGCCATTCCATTTCTTTCATGGCGATGGGAGAAGCAGGTGTATCAGAGTTTCTCCCACCGTAGCCACTGACAATGCTCAGCAGCTTCTGCCGCTGAACACCAATGTTGAAACAGCAGTTGGCTTTAATATCTAGGGCCAGGGTTCTGAGCCTGGCAGGAGGAGCACTGCTCTCCTCTAACGCGTATCTCAGGACTGGGAAGGACAGAAAAATGACCAGATTCTGGACCTCAGCTTTAAACTCTGATTTCCACCTTTCCTCAGGAAGAACCTTGTGCAATTAACTTCTTTCAAGATGTTGGTTTGAACTATAAATACATCCCAAGGGAAATCAAAGGCTAGGGCAAGGTAGCACAAATGCCACAGAGCGCTTTTTTCTACAGTTAATTGCAAACTCTTTTGGTTACTGATGCCCTTTGGAATTTTTTTGCTCTCACCCCCAGTTAACTCATTTTCTGCACCTCTACCAAGGAAGACTTTAGAGAGCTGCCCACTCTGAACTCCTCCAGAATTTAATGAAGTCATCTGGCCTCTTCCAAAGGACTGACTTGATTTTGAATGCTGAGAAGGGGATTAATGAGACATATGTGGAATTAGGGCAATGAATAGTAAAAGCAAAGCATCCTTTCCTATCACCCTCTTAGAAAACAGGGACTAGTTTCAGTATTACTTACACTCCTTGCACCACTAAGGTCAATGGAATTTCTGATCAGGCAAGGAGTGTTCACCTAGGTCTTGAACATGTACAAGTCTGATTTTATATAATTATTTGCTTCATACTTGGCAAATCAGGATGGAGAGGTTCTTTCTTTGGTCATCCCAATCACTTTTCCCACAGGAGCAGATTCTTCTCAATCCTGCCAGTCAAACTACAGCAATCTCTCTCTTCTTTCATCTGTGTGAAAATACCTATCCTACTACAATGCTATCACGGAATAGTCTACCTCAGATTGAGGACTGCCTGCAAAAATAACATAAAAGATTGAAAATGGGCATTCAAGATGAGAAACAAATAACAGGAATAGGATTTTGAAAGGCAGCTGAGGGAAATTAATACTGAGTTTTCAAGGCAATTCAAGAGAAGCGGCATGCCCTTCTTCCTACAGCTCCAAGAACAAATTGTATAAAAAGCTGGGAAACACCTCAAAACCAGAGGTATCCACTCTGCTCAGATGCTAAATTGGCTTGATGTTTAGATAGGCCCATTCAGACAATCTACCTGATTGAGTAACCTTATTGGCCAGCTACTTATTTTATTTTGGACCGTTGAGGTTTGATCTCAAATTTCAATATACAAACCATATTAAACCCATGTGCTGGCATCTGAATGTGCTGGACATTACCTACATAGAGTCACTGAGCCATGCACTTTCGTTAAGGTCCACCACTCCCAAACGACCTTGCAAGGCATCAGAAAAGGTTAAAAATCTTAAGATACACAAAAGTTGTGTAGTTCCCTTTCCATTATGCATGCTGCTATATTTAGCAGACTGACACCCCATACAATGACGCACACAGTGGCAGCTGAGTCCTCTTTCTTCTCCAAAAGAAGCCCCATGCCACAAAAGTGCAGACTTTACATATGTAAATATGTAAGAGTCCAGTACACCTTTTTCTGGAAATGTCTTTCTCTGTATAGGCCAAAACATGCACAATTTTAACTCAAAGCCCCATCATGCAGTTTCTATTACAGTAAATGCAACTAATTAATAAGCTAAATTACTTGAATTAAGAGCTTCAGGGTGAATCCCTCGTAAACTCAGACCTTCTTGGTGTTCTGAGGCAATCTTTCAAGCCTACTGATATTTTAATTGACAATGCCAGCTCAGAGATGATTTTTTAAAAAGCTCAATAATTAAAGATGCTGGATTTAAAAAACAAAAACATCCCAGTGAAACTCACCAAACAACTCTGATCTCTTCAAAAGACTGATCAGATGTCAAGGGCCTTGACTGACAAACACAAATATATTTGCATTTGATGTATTATTACCTTGAGATCACAAGATCCTTCATACTCTCTTAGAGGGTTGACAAAGATATTAAAAAATGCACATTATGCATTGAAGTTTGAGATGTGTCTCAAAGACAAGGTTTTGGTTTATGTTAGCTGTCTCACAGCAAGTTTCACTGAGAAGCTCTATTTTATAACTCTTCTTATCCCTATGCATTGAGCAGCAACAGAACAGGATAAAATGATTTGTAAGCATGCATTACACAGCTTACAATTATAGTTTTGTTGTTCATTTTTGGATTTCATGATTGCAAACCCAGAACTGCAGGTGTGTCAAATCGTATTCAGTCATAGTGCAAGTAAAGAGGTTTCTTTACTAGAGGAAAACTTCTGCAGACCAGGTAACAGTCCAATTCATTTATCATTTCACAATGGTGACACAGTGATTAATTTCCAGTTGAAGTCTGTACTGAGAAGAATTAACAGAAAAGGAAGAATGTGGGTTTAAAAGCTAAGTAATAAAATTTCTGTATCAGAATCTACATTTAGATTTCCAAACAAAGATGAAGAAAGCTTGCACTACATTTTCAGGAACATTACAGTCATTTCAGCTTGCTAAGGCTGCAGGTGCTTCATTTCCAAGGAAATAAAAGCAGAGTCAATTCACTAAAAACACAAATGGAACATAAAATAACAACATACTGACAGAAAACTGAGTGGATTTCATCAGAGGTAAGGATTTATTTAAAAGAAAAACATGTTTTACAGAAAATCAAATACTTTTACAATCTTGATCAACTATTTCACCTAGATTTTCACTATAACGTACCCCACCTAGGCAGTACATACATATGCAATAATATTCATCTTTATTCATATATCACGTCAATATATTTCCTGTGTATGACAATACATACAAAATAATCCAGAGTCCAGAACACCTCCAGCTGCTGACAAGATTTTCAAGCCAAAGAAATATTTTCTCAGCCACTGTGATCAAACTTTGTAGGAGCAAAATTTGAACCTGAATGTCCAAAACTTGGGCTTCCACTATACAGCCCAATCCAAAGTCCAGCAAAGACAGTTTGATTCTCTTACTGGCTGGGTGGATCCATCTCTTAAGTCAAAGTTTTATCAGTACACATCTTGACTAATTTTTCTTGCAGGAGTAAATCCAACGGTACATGACAACAATTACTCATACAGTCAGAGTCTTCGAAGGAGGACATGTACATTGTAAAAATATGGTTGACTAGTATTTTAGAGAGAAATTAATTTTGAATTCTGTATTAGAAAAAAAAAAAGTGACCTTTACTTCCTCTGTTAATGAAGACAAAGTATGGTTTAAGCCTTAGAATACTTATTTGAAAAAGTGCATAATGTGTAAATGTTTTCATTTGCCAAAATAATCCTTGGAGTGAAATATTCATATCCGAATCGTATTCATCTCTCCAGCTAAGTAGATCAATCACGATGTAAACTGCATCCTCCAGCTCTTTTTCATGCATGCCGGGTTTGAGATTTGCAAGTTTGGAGTACTAAATTCAGAACTATTTCTATTGGTAGCATTGCACAAACTAAACAAAGCTAAAGAGTGCAAAAGCACTTCTCTTGCTTTTGACGTTTCTATGTTCTGCTCCTGTGATATCTGAAAGCTTATCTGATTCAGGTTATTTCTTAGCAAACTGCAAGTGAGGAGGTTTGTTACAGAACCACACCTGGTCAAGTTTTCTTCAAAAAACTGTTTATAGAGCTCTGCCACTTTTGTTTCCATGTACTTGTTGAGCATGGAGTTTGACAGAGGCTCCTTGCAGAGCATGATACTCCTTTCTCCAGCTTCATCTCCAGACAGGGACTTTGTACTTGGCTTTTGGGGATACTCAGAGAGAGGGGACTGACCTAGGGGAATATCTATGGACAGCAGAACGGGGCCATTGGGAAGTTCATCACACACTTGGTCCAAAACACAACCTGAATCACACATATGGTCCCCCACATGATCTCCCCCAATATGTAAGTCAGGGTAGTTTTGATAAATGCTGTTGCATGACCAGGATCTATACAAATCCACCTGTTCAGTATTTTGCTCTCTTTTGGGGATATATAAAGCTGGTGATACGATTCCTTTAACAAGTATTTTCTGATCTTTTGCAGGTACCTCTTTTACAGATCTCCACTGAGCACTGCTTCTGTGTTCCATTTTACTATGTCTAGAAGACACCTCATCCTGCTTTTTATGTCCATCAGCAAAGCCTTTAATTTTTGGGTCGTCTAAAAGTTTCTGTCTCCAGATTTCCACTTTATCCTTTTTGGATGCATGAGATTTGAGAGGCTTATCTTGATGACAGCTTTCGTTATAGATGAGTCTAGTTAAGATGCCTTCTGCCAACATGACGACAAGTGTGAGTAACAGTCTAATCACCAGAGTTCCATGTACTCCTGTGAGTGAAAGACAAGACAGGCAGAGTACCTCAAACTTATTTGGACAAAGAAAAATAGTAATAAAAAAAATGAACAATGCACTTTTCATAAAGACTGATTTTTCTTTTTCCCTACAATATTTCTTTTTAGTAAACAATAAACTGCATGCTTTTTTACAATTTTAACCTCTATACCACATCAACAAAAATCATTCTGAAGATATAGGAAGGGCATTAACTGGGTTCTCCACCTGTAATAGCACTTCTGTTCCTAGGTATCTCTTCTGCACCATGTCTAGTTGAGACAGATCATACTTATGAGCTGTAAAAAAATGGCAAAATTATTCTACTTGTCTACATCACTACCACCAGCTGCAAATCAACATTCTCCATTGAAAGACAACAATGTTTAACAGCTAAAGAGGTGACATAGGAAGGAAAACAAGGTCAAACTCACTTAGAGGTATATTCTGAATTGGTCTGAGCCCTCCCTGTAAGGTGCCAAGGAGCTTCAATAGATGCTAATAGTTCTTCAATACAATTAAACTGCATCCAAAATGCAGTTCGCATACACAAATGTTTTTAGAGTCCCTCTTCATGATTATTTTAAAAGATATAGTTACTTTGTCTTCCCCAACAGTGAAGTGATGAGTAGTATGTTTATTTATCTACAGGGTCCACAGTTTTACTAAATGCACAGGAATAATTAAAAGCCAGCCAATACGTCTCAAAATAATCTACTACATTTAATGGTTCCTTATCATTCCCTTTCAATTTACCTACTGTTAAAACCAATGGAAATCTTTCAATTTTGAGCCACGTCTAACCTAAACTCACTAAGGAAAAGATCATCACCACTCCTCTCATGGAGGAATGAGAGAGATGAACACAAGAAAATCCCTCTGTTCTTCAAACGCTTTTTCAATCTCTGCATAATCCAAGTATCTTCACAAACCTCTACTGTGCTCATTGTTTGAAACAGGGGGGAGAAGAAAGGGATAAGGCAGTTTTACTGAAGACTACACAGCAAGTCTCCCAAAGAACATGACATACTGGCATGCTGACTGAAATACACCACAACCTCTACCTATACCACAGACAATTAAGGCTCAATACTTCTCATGATGCTGGCAATTTACATCAGTAGTAATGTCATGCAAGTCACTAGATAGCTCTCTACACAAATGAAACCGCTGCAAATTTGATATTTGATATATAACCAGAAAGATCCTCCTCACTACTTATTTGCTTCTAACCATCAGCAACCAAACCATATACTCTGGCTTATTTGTTCTGCAATGAAACTCAATACAATGGGTGACCCTTTTTTCATTCCAATACTCCTTCCAGAAAGCTAGTCTAAAACTCCAATTACTTGAGAGAGAAATTTTCAACTTCCCTCCTAAATTTACACATCGCCACTGTACAGCCATTTGCTTTTTTCTTTTTTTCAGGGTTCTTTTTTAGTTTGAATGGCACTGTTCCCTCCCTGAAGCTGAAGGTAACACTGGAATTACGATATGCCTGCAAGTGAGACCAAAGCAGACAAGAAGGGCAGTACACCAAGCTTTCTTCTGGTTACATTAGCATAACTGTTTACTTTATCTACAGAATCATTTACATATGCAAAAAGCAGGACAACATTTTCTTAAGCACTTAAGAGAAACCAAGTGCCATTTTCAAAAGAGACAGGAGTACTTGGCAGTCTAAATCTTGCTAAATGTCAGCAGAATTCGGAATGCTGCATGCCTCATTTGCTTCTGAAAAACAGGACACAGGTACCCAGATCCTTACATGCTAAAAGATTTTGCTGTATTGCTTTGAAAATGCTCATAGTGCTAATACAGAACTGAAATACGGTGATCTTAGCAAAATTGCTCTCTTTCAAAATAAAGTAAATGGTCCCTGCATTCTGGAACAAAGCATAAAGCCAAAAAAAAGAAAAAAAAAGCACAAAAGGCCAGACTTACCAATCCTAGTCGGGTAAGAGAGGCGGATAATCACACAGTCCAGAACTCTCCCACTACAGCTGCTGTAAGAGAATAGATTCTTACATACTCTTTCTTCACTGCAGTTTGCGTGGAAAAAAACCTGACGTACACATGCTTTAGTTCCCCATTTTTTCTTTTTAAAACAGAAGTGATCCCACTGGAAAAACACATGTTTTTTGAGTATAAAGTGACAGTACGTCTGAAAAAGGATGTGGAAAAAAAAAAATGAGACGTTTCTGACTGTGGTGCAATGCTGATGAGTTGCTAACTGTCTTAATACCTCATTTTAAAACAAATCACTACTAAAAGAGCAGAGTGCCTGTACCTCACCAGGCTGTTCAAAATTGAAACTGAATTCCACCAAACACTTCCATCTACACAAGTTCAGTTTTCTTCCATCATCTGCCCAACTTTGAGGTGATGTTATTTACAGCATTTCCCCTTTTGAAACAAACTGCTAAATTTATAGTCCTCTGACCTTCTTCTAATGGGGAAGACATTGACAACCTCGTTTCATCAAGGTTTTGATGAAATATCATTTGTCTATAAAAATGCAAATATGAGAATCTGCCTCCCTAAAAGCAGTAGCCATCAGGCAGCTGTGAACAATTGTGTCACTGACCAAAGCCACTTTCTCTGGGCTCAAAAATGACCTGTCTCAATGGCACATCAAAGGTGCTACCATGCTGTTTTTAGCATGTCCTCACACAGACTGAAACCAAGTTCACGCACTGAGCCACACCACTCCCGCAGCACTAGATCCAGTCCATAGACAGTTTGAAGGGGTTTCTGTTGATGCCTTTTCTAAATTTCCTTTTTCTCAGAAAAAAAACAAAAAACAAAAAAAAAAAATCAGAAGCTGGATCTCATCCAAGTAGTAGACAAAAACATCTTGAAAAGAAACTGTTTGGTGTAATGATAGGAGCAAGACACAAATGTAATGTAAAACTAGAGTGTAAAGCAACATTACAGCAACATATTGATTGCAACCCATCATACAACATGTTTTGGCAGTAAAATAATGATGTGCTTTAGAAATTAATTAATTTGAAGTCTTAAGTAACTATGACCATATCAGGTCTAATGGAGTACCTTTAAAATTATTCCTCTTCCCTCCTTATCACCTATATTTCACAAGACTTCAGTTTTTATGAAGGCAGAATGAAAGCTATCTTTATTCTCACTGAATCTATGTAAAACTCATTTCATATTTAAAAGCTGTTTAAAATTATTTTTTATCACCTTGTGACTTCAACAGAGCACTCCTGGCCCCAGTCTCGAAGGGCAGGAAACAGGATGGTTCAAATTCCATGTACTTTTAAAGCTTGCCTCCTTCACTGAACTTGTAATTAGTGCCAGCTGCAGCTGTATTTTTTGTGTGGCAGTTTCAACAAAACACAAGAGTCACAGAGAGAGAGGGAGAGGATCAAGTTAGGTGATTAGTCTTGAGTGATTAAAAACAACTCACCCTTCATTTCAGCTGTACTCAGGTGTCAAATGAATCGACATCCAAGGAAAAGAATGTATTTCTATCAGTATGATTTTACCAAAAAAACCCATTATATTTACAAAAATAAAATCATAACGTGACAGAAGCAAAGTTATTTCACAAGCTGAAAACAGACTGCACTTAGAAGAAACAGTCAGCAAGACAAGCATGCCTGAATACTGAGGCTAAACTCAGAGCTGAATGTATAAACAAAACCAAATTTTACTATATGATTAATATACGGAAAAAATACAGCATTGTGCATTACCATACATAATTATCATGTTACATGAACTACAGTAGCATGTAAACAAAGTTGCTTATTTCAGCTCAGAAATAATATGTATTTTACGTGCATATAAACGTGAAACAGAACTTGGCTACTTTAACTGTTTGGTGGGGTTTTTTTTTCCAAGCATAGCTGTTGCAAGTCTTTTGCTTTTCATTTCAACCAGCAATACTTCATTTTACAACCCCAGCTTCTGAGTTCTCCCAATACCTTCTCGCACAACAGCTCCCCGTTTACCGGAGCAGACGTCCCGGCTCTCTGGTGCCGCCTCCTCTGATCGGCTTCCTAAACCCCCGCCCAGAAGCACGGGCGCCTCTCCGCTGCCACCTCCCGGCTCCAGAGCGACCCACACTAGCCCGGGCCCACGCTCCTACGTGGGTCTTTCTACCGCGGGAAGCGCCTGGGATGCCAAAGCACTTTTTAAACATCATGGAAGCAAGTTTTGCTGCCCTGCAGCGGTGCGGAGGCCCAGGCGAGCAGAGGCAGGCAGTGAGGCTGGAGCAGGGAAGAGCTCGCCCCGCCGCCCAGAACGGCCGGCCGGAGCCCCGGGCCCAGAGCTGCCGGGCGGGGCCGCTGCAGCGGGCTCGGGCGACGCGGAGGCGAGAGCAGCGGCCTGGGCTCGGCCGGGCCGTTCCCGGCAGACGGCTGCGGCGGGGCCGGGCTGGCCTACCGGCTGCTGGCTGACCGGCCGCCGCTCCCCTCTGGGCGGAGGGGGCGGGCCTGCGCGCTGACTGACGAGAGGAGCGCCCAATCGGGAGGCTCGCCTGAGTCGCCGTGTGGCGGTTGGTTGCCGCAGCAACGGCTGGTGCGGGCAGGCGGGCGCCATTGGGGCCGGGGAGGTAACGGGGGCTCGGGGTGAGCCCCCGTCCCGGGCGGCGGCGCCTCGGCCGCCTCTCGCCTTCCCGGTGAGGCGGAGTCGGGCTGCAGGCACTTGGGCCTGGGCGTTAACCGACTGCGGGCCGAGATACTCGGCCTGTCGGTCAGCGAGGCCCGGGGCAGGCGGGCGGTGCCGCCCGCAAGGCCGGTGGCGGAGGAAGGGCCCCACCGCAGCCCGCCCCCGGCCTCCTCCTGGCGCCGCGGGGCTCGGGACCGAGCTGTGCTCGGGGCCGCGGAGAGGGGCGTGTTACCGTCCGTGGGCTCGGCCCTAGGGCGTCACGGAAGTGGATTCGGAGTTAATGCCACGTTTGTGGTTACGAGCCCTAGTTCTGTTTGCATCAACAAAAAACTTGCCCTGCGTGCTGGGAAAGGGCTCAAAAAGGAATTTAAGTCAGGTGGGAACTACATCTCAGTTGACATTGTATTAATGATGATTTATTTTTTAAGGATTTTGAGACGTTATTCCAAGCAACTGCAAATGAAGTCGCCAAGTTCCTGTGAGAGAAGGTAGTACTCTATATAATAGGATCAGTTTTGATACTTCATGAATGCAACACATATTTTGCATACTTAGAGCACTCAGTTACGAAAATGCTCGCCTCCTGTTGTAAGAGCGATTTCTACTTCATCACCTTAAGTTGACGTTTCGAATCCCTTTGCATTTCTCTGAGTTTTTCCAAAAGTTTACCACTACAGTTCAAAATTACTACTAATAAACTTTTAAATCGAAAACATTCTACCAAGATCACTTAATGGGACAAATCACAGAATACTTCTGCAGGAAACTCATTAAAAGATAATTACTTGGTAATTAGTTACCTTGTAGAGTAGGGTTTTGTGTAGGTAATGCTACCTGATCTATTCAGATGGGCTTTACAGACCATTTTTTTTCTATGCCAAGCGTAATCCATTTCCAGAACAAGCACAGATGCTATCATGAACTCTGTGAGAGAGGCGGGGAAAAAAAGGAATGTGGAAGAAATGCAGTGCCAGTACTCAGAACTGGAATGGGCTGTATGGATAATGAGCAATAAGTAAATGCGTTTGTTTTTCCCCCTTACACCTTGCATCAGCTTGACATCGGAGGCTGGGGATGAGGTGGGGAAATGATTACAGATTACCACTCTAGGCAGTCACACAACTTTCCCACTCTGGTATTTACATCACAAAAACTGAAAAAGCAAGACTGGCAAAAGAGGAAAACATTTAAGCCAGGAAAACTTCATGGCTTGTTCCCAGGTAATGAGTTCTCAGTTTCTTTTTAAATTGGCTATTAAATTTCTCTTGCCACAATGGGGAAAACACAGGAGAGATGAGGTCTGATAAGGTTCTTAACACAGGTTACTGATCAGTCTGAATCTATTATGTTAATAGCTTTAAATTAGTCCTTTGAAAAAAACTTAATTACTTTCTTGGTAAGTCTTGTATCTTGCATTTCTCAAATTGTGGGCCTCTGCGCACAAGACTAGCTAATACCTTTTTCTCATGTTAAAAAAATTCCAAAAGCCAGAAAACCAAGACACAGAACAGATCTTCGTATACAGTGTGTGTGTATATACATATATATACACACACATACACACAGAGTCTCTGACCAGTAATTGAGTGGCTCAGGAGCCACTCACTGGCTGACTGAACTGCACCTCACGTCAACCCACGCTGGGCTTTGACTTTGTGAGGTTAACCTGACTGACACAAGACCTGTCAGTAAGGGACTAGCAGGCGCCTACTGCCACCCTACACACCACAAATTTGTATTGTAAAACATTTCTGGTATTTTAAATACATGCAACACGAGCTGAAGGATATAATCAGACTTTACAGAATTTTCTGTGACATACAGATTAAGAATATTAAATGAGAAATTAATAAAATCCCACATGAATTGGTAGAAAAGTTTATTAGTACAGTGCACACCATTGTAACCTGAAACAGCAAATAAACATTATATGTACGCATGCAGTTTTGTTTTTTAAACAGATTTTTGAAAACTGTTTGTATTGAGCTTTGCATTAATGAATAACAACTTGTTTTTTTAAGACTTTTTATAAACAAGAAAACCAGGGATTTTTCCATTACACAAGTGAAGGGGAAAGTAAATGGGATTCATTGTCATTTAGAAATGGCATCAAAAGCCCTTTTCCCTATTTTACATAATGGACCATGTTTTAAAACACTAAAGGAGGGCAGGTAAGTGAGAGACAAGCAATAAACACCATTAAAAGACATCAGTGTAACTGACAGATCTCTGTTGTGCTTTAGTTGTTCGGACAGAACAAAGCTGATCCTATAAATGGCAAGCAAGCAAGCTACTCGCAAACCACGCTTTAAAGAATTAAGTTCTTAGTTTCCTTCAGAGGATGCACATTGAAGTCTGGGATCTGGGCAAATCCTTGTGCAGTTTAGGGGCTGAGAATGCAGCTTCTGTAGCTCTACGGAAGATCTCCTAGGTGGTGCAAAACTTCAGCATGTAAAGCTTAAAACAATGTACCTGGTGGATCTAGCAGGCAAATTGAGAAGGTAAAAATGAATCGTTTTAGTTTAAAAATGTATTGTACACCACCCTCTGGCAACACAAATATTAACTAATGTCATTCCCCTGCTGTGAGCAGGGTAAAGCTAATTAATTACACATTGCAAAAAAAAGCAATTGAGACTGTTTGGCAAGCTCTACAGGCATGGGGTGAAGCTGATCTGCCCTGTCCGCTTTCGATTGGTAACTGCCTTGGGCAAAGAGTGGGAAATCAAGTTAATTAGGAAGTGTATTCAGTGCTCACCTAAAACCCGAAAAACCTCCAAAGGCTATTTTGGGTAGGTGTATCCTAAGTAATTAAAACCCATTAGTTGGAACAGTAGAGAGATCCAACCCAACAGACTCAACATGCAGCAGCAGTGGATGCATTATGTTCACTTTGTTGTATAGATCCTGTACTTTTAAAGAGCAGTATTTTCATTTGAAAACTCCACTTCTTTCAACTTATGGGACCACTTCAAACTGTGAACAAAACATGCAAACAAGTCAATGGTGTGAGAAAGCATTCTAAAACGATTTTATTGGAATGATACAGGAATGGTTAATACACAGGTTAAATCCTCAATGCCTGCCCTCTACGTAGGAAAAAAATAAAGAACAAATTCAGTTCTTGCTCCCATCATTAACCTAACACAGGTATGGGAAACAGAAAAACAGCATATAGGCAACAGATTCCTAGCACTCCTACATTCAAGCAAGATATCTGCATCAAAATGAATGGAAGTTTTACACGCAGTCCCACAACAAAGAGATATTTTCGGTATTTTTCAGTTTGTGTTGGTGCCTTGTTCCCCAGACAAAGAAATAATTCACTCTGTCTCAACAGAGCTTTCTTAGGAATGCTGATACAGTTTGAACGCTACCATATGGCAAGGGTGGGGGACCAGACGAGGGAAGTGACTTTGCTTTCTTAAACTTGGCAATTTTCTTGACCGTCAGAAACAGAGATTGACCTCGTTTCAGAATGTTTTGGGGTCACTGAACTGACAGAATTTGGCAGCAACTTTGAATTACAGCTTCTCCAAAATAATGACCGTAATTCACAAAACTTATACTATACTTTCCTTACACAGGAAACACAGCAAACTGATGTGAGTATAGTGGCTTGTGTGTCAAATTATACTTTCTTCACACTACTTGACTTCGTATTCTTCCATATTTCTCTAAAACTTGACCATTAGTTTAGACACAGAGAAAAGTTATACCAATATTAAGAAAGAAAAATCACCGTGGTTCAGAAAGATGAAATTACAGTGAACAACAAAAATCAGACACTGGATTTAAAACATAACCTAACTTCCATCCCCAGAAGACCTTGAAAATAAATTTCACAAAATTTCAGTAATTACTGATAAAGCCTGTTAATGAAAAAGCACAAATGTGTGTGTTAATCTTGAAGGTAAGGCAACATTAATCCATCCCTATGCATTTTGATACTGTGCTTGCTTTTGTAAGCACAAGATTCAAGCTGACTCCCAGGCTCCCAAATCAGAAAAGATAAAACATGAATTAACTGTCATTTTAACTAACTTGGCTCCATGCTAGATCCTGCTCACTCAGACATCTGTGGAAGTTTCATCACGAGCTGTCTAGAAGCAGAATTGCTCTCCAATAGCTGCATTTCTCTTTTAACGGATGTTGACAAAATCATCAGTTGCAGTGAACGGAAGCACTACTAAAGCCCCAAGAAGTGTTGGTGCGGGAAGTATTTAATTACTGCACTTTAGAAGATCTTTGTAAATGTAAGTTTCTATTGTCATCCTGTTCCTAATTTTAGACTTCAAAACTACGAACTGTAATCCATTTCAGAAGGTATTTAAAAAGCACTGCATACATTTTACAGCATCAGTGTAAAGTAACTGCATAGTGATGGTATGCTGCAGCCTTTTGCTGATCTGCACCACCTGTTTCTCTGTCTTCATAAAGCAAAGAAAATCAAAATGTGCATGTGCAGAGCTATGAGAATGATCCTCTAACCACAGCAAGGACTAATTATCTTTCCTAGTGTCTTTTGATGCTTCTGGGGAATAAGTACATTATGTGGTACAAAATGCAGTTTAAATTACCCTCACACTTTTTAAACCCATTTCTTATCCTCCAGGGCACTTGTAATTATTTGTTTTTTTGCAGAATATGGCCAAGAAACACAGACTATCTCATGAGCACTGGGAGAACAGACAGGTTAATATTGCACACGGTGAATTCACCAATACAAGACACTTTTAATAGATTTGCAATTCCTGTAATAGCTTCATGATATGGCAATAACAATGGAAAAAAGTTTTTAAACCTTTATAAAAAAAAA